TTCAAAGCCTTTATTTCCTTAAAAAGTGCATTCTTGAATTTCTTTGGATACCTTAACAGATCAGAAATAGCAAGTTATATGTATATATTTTTTAAACATGCTAAATAGAATTCTTCCCTGGTGACTGAGGTTTTACTGCACATTACTGCTATACAACCACTACTTCCCTCTCCCCTTGTATTTCAGTTCTCTATGCATTTTGTCTATGAACGTCCACCTTGCGCTAACAGCACTTTTTCAAGCCCATATAATGAAGCATCACTACTTTTCCCAGCTACAGTAAGGCCTGAATGCAACAAGCAATTGTACACAGCATTTTTAAACATGTCTCCTAGCAATAAAATTGAACATTTCATTTCCTCAGTTAGTTTTGCCAAGGCAGAACATAGCCAAAACATACAGTGAAGGTAAAGAAAGAGCAAAAACTACATTCCAAACCCTTAGGCACTTCACTCCCAGTTCTACTTATTTTCTTCTGATCATAAAGACCACGCATCACTTCATTACCTAAAGCTGAACAAAGTATGAAGACTCTCCCCAAAGTTCAGCATTAATAGCTAACATAACTCTAAAAACAAGTTGCAACTAAGTAGGATGGGAGTCTTCATGGCTTGTAACAAAGGCAAAGTGTATGTATTTGTGTATAGTGAGGAGAAAAAATAACTTAAACCAAAGCAATAGGTTTCTGGGCATTCTTCTCTATGAAGACCTCTCTAATTGAATCTTTTCCTAACAATATTTTCGTTTTCCTGCCACAAATAATTAACACAGAACAGTGATGCTGAAACACTGCATTCCTGAAACTGTTACCAAAAACTATTACAAATTATTAAACTTAGAATATATTTATAAGCCAAAACAAAACAAGAGCCAACCATGACCAAATTATTTAAATAGGACCAAATGTATAAATGCATCTAGTGAATACAACAGTGCAGACTTCATCGCAACTGCCAAACTCTTACTGGATTCTTTGCTAAAGTTGTCTAAAATTAATGCTAAGTTCATAACAACTGAAAACAACTGTAGGTTGTAACCCAAGAAATCAAATCTGTTCGACTCCTCTGTGACTTTCTAAAATGGTAAAATTCAACACTTTTCACTGTGTATTGAATACTCAGGCTAAATTAAATGAAGTCCAATACAGAAACATTCCATTTTCCTCCCATACAAAGAAAACAAAGAATCACTAGCACTAGCGTTGCAAATCAGTTAGTATGATTCAGACTAGAACCAGCTGAAATGCATCCAAGCTGCTGAGGTAGCTGGCCAACATTATCATGAGACCACTTTCTAACATTAGAAAAAAAATTAAGTGGGCTGCTAGTCAGAGGAACCTCAACAAGCTGGAGGAATAGGCCACAAAACCCCATTGGATTTAACATAGCCAACTGAAAAGTGCTACAGCTAGGACAGACCAACCACCTGTGGGGAAATCTTTTGGCTGCTGCAGCATCCTGTGAAAGTTCTTTTCCTATGCAGGCTAACTAAGAAACACCTGTGGCTCGTTACCCTGGGAAAGTTGCCTTGAAACAGGTGCTGTAGCATTCAGCCAATCACTCTGGGAGATGGATGGTCAAGTGACCAATAGCCTTGACCCATCTAGTAAACCACGTGACTCCTGACTATTTAAGGCAGGGCGTTTGTTCCTAAGGGTGAGGCATTTCCTCCTGAGCTTTGGAGGAGTGTGGGCTTGCTTTAGAGTAGAGCCTGAAGCCTTCCCTTTACATTGGAATTATTGGTCTGCTTGGAGCTGCCTGAAGCCTTCCTGTTGCAACAACTGGTGACCCCGATGTGATCTGGCTGCAACTAAGATCAGAAGGTACGTGCTTCTGTACATAGGGCTCCAAGGGATGAACTCTAGATCAAAAAGATGGGACAAAGCTCCGCAAAAGAGAGCATGATGTTTTCCATCCTTAAATCTGCAATAACAGTCGCAGGTGCTAAAATAAGTGATGAAGCTCTCTGTGAGCTGCTAAATTGGGCGGCAGAGCATGAATGCCTGGCTGATCTTAACACTCCTTTTTAGCTAAGAAGCATGGAAGCAGCTAGGGGATAAGTTAATTCATGAAACAGTGCTTGGATGAAAGAACCTGACCAGCCTATTATGTATTTGGGAGACTGTATATGATGTAATGCAGAGATAGACAGTAGAAAGAAAGGAAAAAGAATTGCCAGATTCTGATGAATCTGCAAGTGAGGTTTCTGAAGGGGGGGATGAGTTATCTGAAGGGGGACTGACCCTGGACAGCACGGGCAGTGCACCAGTTGTGCCCCCACTGTCCTCAGATACGGAGAAAGTCGTAGGGACTGCACGGAGGCTTTACCCCTCCCTGGGGATTATATCCAACCCAAGTATCCTCCTCATCATGATTTTACGATGCCAGAATACTCCTCCGGACATTGGAGTGTCCCCCACCCTTCGCCCTAACAGCTGCCCCTTCCTCTTCTGTATCTCAGCCGGTTACTTCGGCCAATACAGCAGAACCTGTTCTTCCTACTGCTCCACCATTTGCCCCTCAACCAGGACAGGCACCACAAGGACCGTTCCCAGGCATGGCACCCTGGTTTTCTGCAACTTCATGTCCTGCACCATCACACATAGCGCCTGGCTATCTACCACGGCATAACTGGAGCAACCCCCAACAACGCATTTCATAATACACCAGGTTATGGCAAGGAATGTCGCAACAACTAACAGCATTGATGGAGATGTTGCGGCAGGTTACTGCTGCTGGATCCATGCCGGGACAACCTGGGCTGGCTGTGGCAACCAGCCCAGCAACGGCCCCGGAAGTGGCACCAAGCATGCCACTGACAGCTCCAGAAACTTGTGGAAACCACAAGTTTCCACAACCCGAACTGCATCTCCATGGACTGCCCCACAACCGACTACAGCCTCTGCCTTCACACCACCCACTGGCCCAGTGTCTGCACCCTGTCAGAAGCCATTGGACACACCCCTGCCTGATGATGTTGCCCCCCCCCCGCCGGAGGATGTTTCACCACTGCAGGAAGCCGTGGCGGCAGTCAGACGACAACAAACATGGCTGGCCCACAACTGTCCCTGGACACTTCCCGAATGTAAGGTGACCGTATGTCCAAAAAATTCAAAACAGTTCTGGGAAGAAGTCAAGAGGGCGGGCTCTGGAGGCTGGGGATTGGGACCTAATAGAAAAAGTCGGGTTGCCTGAAAAGGGGCCTGAGCAGATTGTTCAGGGAAGTAATGAACCAACAGAGGATATTATCCAAGCCTTTCCGGTACAAAAAGCGCTTCCCAACTCAGGCCAAATTGACAAACATGAAACTATTGCCTGGAAAGTAGTCCAAGACCTGCAAACCAAAGTAGTGCAATAGGGACTAGACTCTCCTCAGGTCATGCAGATTATCAGGATATTAAATACTGACCTACTCTCCCCATTCGACATTAAACATCTAGGTCAGGTATTATTTCAACTAGTACAATATACTGCCTTCGAGGCCAATTGGAAAAGAATGGCTGAGAGAGCTGCAGCTGGGAATATGCAGTTACCTCCAACTGACCCCAGATACGGAGCTCCAGCAGATGCTCTACTGGGAGCTAACCCTTTTTCCAATCCTGATTTCCAAGCTACATGGCATCCTCAAGTTCTTGAGCAAGCTCAGAAGATCGTCATGGGAGCCCTATTAAAAGGCATAGATATGGCTGCCCCAAAAACACAATATGTGAAGATATATCAGGGGCAGAAAGAACATTTTTTGTCCTTTGTAGAGAAAATTGCTGCAGCCCTCGAAAAACAGGTTGAAGATGAAAACTTGAGACAGCTATTATGCAAGCAGCTGGCAAAAGACAACACCAATGAAGAATGTAGAAAAATCATAAATTCCATGCCAGGGGAACTCACACTAACAGAAATGATTGAAGCGTGTTCTAAGCTAGAATCCGAAAGTTATAAGTCTGCTCTGGCTACAATTCTACGGCCTATTCCACTCAAAAACTCTGATCTGGAACTGAAAAGACAACCTAAGAGGGACAACAGACAAAGACAGACCAGACAAAAAAAGAAGAAACAAGGATAACAGGAGACCTGCTCACTGCATAAGATGCGATAAGCCAGGCCATTCTGCAAGATACTGTGAATCCTTGTACCATGCCAATCGTCGACCCCTGACATGTTCGGGAAACCTCCCCAGGAGCGCAATGGGGATGTGCGCTCAGACAGAAATGTTTCCCCAGGGCATGATACCAACTCAGGCTTACTCAGCCAGCACAAAGGGATCAGCCGGGGTGGATGTGCACACCGTAACAACAGTCGTCTTAGAATCCTGTCATGTCTATAAGGTTCCCTTGGATGCGTTTGGGCCTCTAGGACACGGGCTGAGTGCATTGTTGGTGGGAAGATCTAGTATCACCATTCAAGGGATCTTTGTGCACCCAGGAATTACCGATGCCGACTTCACAGGACAGATTTGTGCTATGGTTTCCACATCCACCCCGTCACAATGCCGGAAAAAACTCAGATCACTCAACTCGTGCCCTTCAAATCATGTGTTCCTAAGGCAAAACGACGAAGTCGTGAAGGTGGTGGCTTTGGTTCTACAGGACTTCCGCAGGTTTATTGGACTGCAGATATCTCTAGCCAAAAGCCGCAGATGACCTGCACCTTAATATTGCCAAATGCCCAGCCATCCAGGATTCGGCTCCGAGGTTTTATTGACACGGGTGCTGATGTGACAATCATCTCCTTCTCTGCGTGGCCTCCTACGTGGCCTTTAGCCCCTGTGGGGTCGGCCACCGCAGGACTGGGAGGAACCGCACAGAGTTATCTAGGCAAACAACCTGTGGTGGTGAAGAATGCAGAGGGTCAAACAGCTACGATTTGGCCCTATGTCACTACAGCTCTGCTTAACCTCTGGGGGTGGGATGTCTTGGCGGCCTGGGGAGCATGAATTGGGACAAATTTTTGATGGGGGCCACTGTACTGAAGGGCACACAGTATCCTACATTGCCTTTATGGTGGATGGCAAACAAACCCATCTGGCAAGCCCAGTGGCCCCTACCGAAAAAAAAAATTAGTTGCCCTTCATCACCTAGTTAAGGAACAACTACAACAGGGACACCTTGAACCTTCTACCAGTCCCTGGAATACTCCTGTCTTTGTAATTGAGAAGAAATCAGGAAAATGGAGATTGCTGCAAGATCTCCGAAAAATCAATGAAGTAATGGAAAGCATGGGGGCATTGCAGCCTGGTATGCCCTCACCCAGCATGATTCCAGCAGGGTGGGAAATCCTGATCATTGATTTGAAGGACCGTTTTTTCACAGTCCCCTTACATCCTGATGACAAACCAAAGTTTGCCTTTACTGTACCTGTGGTTAACAACGCTGAACCTGCAAAGAGATATCAATGGAAGGTCCTACCTCAGGGCATGAAGAACAGCCCGACTATCTGTCAATGGTACGTTGCTCAAGCTTTGTCCGGAATCCGTGAGCAGTCTCCTGAAGCATACTGCTACCATTACATGGATGATATCCTGGTGGCAGCATCCACCCAGGACGAGCTGCTGAGGATACAGCCTTGGCTGCTTGCTGCTCTGCATTCTTATGGATTGCAAGTGGCTCCAGAGAAAGTTCAACAGCATCCTCCTTGAAAATACTTAGGAGTCAAAACTTTGGACCAAACTATACAACACCAAGAGGTGCAATTCTCGAGTTCTATTAAGACCTTGAATGATGCTCAGAAATTGCTGGGTAACATCAATTGGTTACGTCCCTATCTAGGGCTAACCACAGCACAACTTGCGCTGCTCTTTAATATTTTAAAGGGGGGCCCCTGAGTTGAATTCACCTCAGAAACTGACTCCTGAAGCGTGGCGAGTGCTAGAGGAGGTTCAACAGGCTATTTCTGCCCGTCAGGTTTAGTGAGTAGATCCTCCATTGATATTACCGTTTTTATTACCACTCCAGATTCTCATCCAACAGGTATCATTGGCCAATGGAACAAACAGTGGTCTGACCCCTTGCATATTCTGGAATGGGTCTTTTTGCCGCATCAACCAAAAAAGACAGCATCTATGTTATTTGAATTAATTGCTTGTCTGATAATCAAATGCCATCAGTGCTGTTTACAATTGATGGCAGCAGATCCTGCAACAATTGTTCTGCCAGTACAGCAGGGAAAACTTGCGTAGG